GTGGATGTGGAATGGCAGGCAGAATTGGTCTGTGTCCAGTGCCGTGTTGCATACGAGGAGCTATGTGTGGTGGAAGATTTGGACGAAGATCTCTCTTGGCTTTATCAGCCCGAGACGGACGGCCTCGTTTCTTGGGTTTTGTTGTTGATTGCGGCGGAGGCATGGCAACTTGATTCTGCTCAAGTCCCTTTGATGGTCGAGGGAGGATCGGAACGGGTACATTTGAAACGGGAGGTGATAAATGCTGGGTATTCAAGCTAGTTGTGTCGCCCGCGACGCTAGAATCGGCTTCTTTCAGAACAGGCTCGCCTTGGCTGCTTGTTGATAGCCTTTTGGAATTCGAAGAAGGGCCGCCCATATGCTCTACAACTTGCATACACTGATTCATATTGCGACCTAGCGAAACATTAGATATTGTTTAAAAAAGCTGTTGACGGTTGTTGGATGATAAGGGTAATTCGCATACCAAGCGGAAGCTGCATCCTCATCCAATCAGGGTCAACACGATTGGTGTTTATGAAGGCCAGCAAAAGGTCGATTTTGACAGTACTGGATTTTATAATCTCAGCGAGAACAAATCGCTGCAAGACGAATATTAATATCGGAACTTCCCATCGTTCGATCCTCAAAATCACTACCAGACATACCTTTTCATCCTGCGTAAAGGAGAGCTCCATGGTTCTATATGAGTTGTCTAACAGAAACGAAACAATTCGCCAGGAAGACTAGAAGAAGAAAAAACCACAAAACAAACTGTACCCGGACCCTGACAACTCTCGGATAGGCATCGGTGGTATTGCTGTTGGGCTCATGAAGTGAAGTGAAGGTGACCCGGGCAGGAGAAGAATAGGAGTGTTGTCGCTATTTCCCCACCATTGAAGACATCATTGTTTTGGCGTTTCTTTGACCATAGATAACTTTGACGAACCACAGAATCATCTATAGTTAACAGAAGTCCAAACAATCAGATTCCCTAAACAAACGATACCGCAGCTCCTGCCCGTTTGTTACTATTATGCGAAAGGTTGATTGTTGGGCAGAGCGTCCTTCGACCCCTCCCCCCTTTTTCACATGGAAACGGTTGGAGCTGACTTTGGAAAAATTAGACAATACAAGGCTGCAGCTGTGCGGCTTTTCAACAGACACCCTGGGGGAAAGGGTCGGTCGTCAAGTTTGTGACACCCAGCAAGATGTCTCTCTGTGCGCTGAGAGCAGACAGACAATGGGTAGAAGGAGTAGGGGTGAGGCGGCAAATGGGTCGTGTAATGCTGATCCGCGACATGCAGGTGATAGTAGCGCTAATACGAAGCACAGATCAAGAGATGTTGCGTGTCTGCGTGACCGTAGAAGCGCGGGACAAGGTACTTGAAATATGTAGTCTTAACCAGTTCATTTCTGGTCGGTTGCAAACGAGACACGCAAGTATTGGAAGGCGAGCTCTATCTTTGGGTAGGGGGCCACGGTTCCTTCGCTACGTATGTATAGCTTGACCAGCCCCGCGGCTCATGGATACCACCTCGCTATTCTTGATGGCGCGGCACTCTGAACGGTGACGGTGGTGGTGCGGACGAAGAATGACCAGGGTCACAGCGAGCATGGGTCAAGAGGCGACGAGAGGGAGGAGCAGCGATGGAGAGAACAGATAATGTGGAAGCTCTCCCAGTTGGATGCCACACTACTTCTGTCGCCGTCGAGCCCAGATACAGACGAGTATTCATGTATCAGAGAGACGAGTCCTCATGACGGAACCATGCAGCGGTATATGGACTGTTCCGAGATCCTACACTTCAATGGCGGCCTCTTATGCGCTGAATAAAGGTCAGCTGGTTGCCAGACTTGGTAACCACGACTAGGCCAGCTTTGCCCAACTGTGTAAAGGAGTTTGCTGTCCGTACGTCAGCAGCTGTGACCAAGCTAAGCAAAGTGCCGGGGACACCTGTGAGTCTTCCGGTGGCGAGTAACTATTTATGACAAAAGTTAACTTCAGCCTAACTCTACTGGCCAAAGATGGCTTCGGTGCGGACCGATTGGTATCTCGGCCAACAAACGGCCCCCCCGGTTGTCCAGTGTCAAGGGCATGTCCAGAAGTCTCAATTCGCTTAAAGACTCGTGGAGTCTTTTTTTTAGTCTGTTCAAGGCGCCAGGGTCCCATGGCTTTTGTGGTGCGTGTATGTATGTTTATCTTGTGCAAATCCCACGTCGCATAATTGTCATTTGATAATAGCAGACTCCCAGTCGATCTATGCTTGCCCTTGGTCGAGGTGGGGATGGTTCAAGAGATTTTGCCAACTCTATTGAGGAGTTGCCTTTGTTCAGGACTTCAAGGCCACTTTGGTCGTCAATACCTAGAAAAGCGTCGGCTTGTGAACAAAGAAATGCACAAAGAAAAAGAGAATATGACATGGCAGTCTGCCACACTCGATGCAGCCGTGGTGACACTCGACCCACCGTCGTCGTTCTGTACAAGGTGTATGGAGTCCACGCACACCGTCGACGCTATGCAAGTCGATTGTGCGGAATTCCAGGTGTCTAGATCCCGTCCGAAGTCACCTACATTACACCTGCCTTGCGGTGACTTGCAGTCTGCAGCTTAACGGGGAAAGCCTCTCTATTGACCAAGGCATGGCCAATCCCACGATCAATCTGGAGCGCCTGACATGTCTCGGTCCCCCTCCCACCCTGTCCATGGCAATCATGGTAGACGCCAACTTGGCTCGTGTCTCGCCGCAGCTGGGCTGCATCGCCGCGCTTCTCGCGCTCACACCATGGATGTGCTTTTGAATGCCCAACCCTTGTCGAGGACGCGAGTTGATGGCCTGGGGCGTTTCCTCCGGGCAGATGTGGTGTCAAATGTGGTGTCAAAATCGGTGTGAGTGTTGCTACAGAAGGTGTCGTGGGAGACGCGGCGAGAGAGCCCGTTCGTGTAAGTGACCGCGTGATTGTTTGGCTGTGATCAAATGGGATCTGTGACTCAACCGAAGAGCGTTCACGTTCACCCCCAGTTGATCCGCCTGACCGTACCAATCAGAGTCTCCTTGCATCTAGCGGTCTCAGCACAATCCACATGTTCATTCAGAAGGGTTGTTGACTGCACATGGCAGGCTGTCGTTGCCAGTCGATGTAGGCAAGCTTACCGTAACTATTTTGTAGGCATCAGCGGCCGCTTTGAGAGGCCCCCCATTTTGGATGCATAGGGAACATGCGACTCGTCGGCATGTACGACCTAGGTAGGGTGATGTCAAAAATCACACCTCCTCCGGTTTGGATAGCACCTCCATTACAAAAGATGAAGAAAGTCGGGGACATGACGACCACGTTGAGATTCGAGGGGATTCGAGAAGAAAACCTGAGTTGTTGGCAAGTTCTGCAGCCCGACCGCCTTTTATAACATTTCGGTCGCTCCTTCTCAGCGAAGCCTGGTACACCAAGCACGCCTAATCGCCCATGCAAAGTGAGTTGGCAAATCTTGAAAGACCCACCCAAGCCAATTCGAAGGAGTCTTCTCTCCTCCTTCACGGTTGCAATGGCTCAAACCTGTCTAGACGTTTGATTCCTGCAAGGTTTGTGTCGTTCTGAAACCTACTGCCCACTATGGCCCAATGGCCTGGTTCAATTGCTCTTGCATATTGCATGCTGCTTCTTTATATGCAGGTCAACGATTGCGACCTGCCAGGAACCCTTGATGGACAGCTGGGGATCGAGATGACAGTTGACAGTTCCGAAAACTACCAATTGTTACACAGCGCATAAGATGGGGTGACGCAGAAGTGTTATTCGATGCGGCATTCTGCGGCTTCACATCAATTACCCGATGGAGAAGTTCTTGTTCCCGGCCGACGCGGTACGCAAGGTACTTTGATCAGATCTCGATACTACCTTTCCGGACTACCAGAATAGCCGCAATATTACCGCATGGCTTTTGGCTTGTCATTCATTGCCTTGGATCACTATGCAAACTCAACTTACAGGAATAGTTTTTCATTCAAGAGCTTTGCTACTGTTGCAGGAAACTTATTAGAACTCAGGACGTGAATGTGCCAACGTCACCCAGGAGAGACGTTGACTTTACGGAACTTAATACTGTTAAAAAAGATGGCTAGTATCGAATCTCGAACCACTCCATTGTCTAGTCATGATACTGAGACCAGACACAGAGGCTGTGCAGAGGCGTCAGAGGCTTACGACACAGATGATTCTGCCACTTACAACTAACTCGTCGCGCGTGCCACCATGGCTTGTAGATTAAATATTTGTTAGATATAATTACTTTCTCCTGATTGGAAAGGGTTTCTTGCCGACTAGCATGTACATGGTACTATTGGTCTGGTGCTAACTACGGTATGCTCACGATATCTGAGCCGAAGGCGGAGCCTACTTCGTGAAATGCTGCAACTGGCAAGATATTGCAGCATCGCGCACTCGCAATGAGAAAAATATAACATTTTGCTGTTAGTCCCTCATGCTCTGGTCCAGTGCCGTCTGCGAATGCGAATTGATTTTGCTCTAGGCAGGATTTGGGAGTGCCCAACGTCGTGGGTTGAAGAAGTCACTAGGTATTCCAATCATGGTACACAACCAACGCCACATAATACAGCTGAAGACGCCAACTAATTGCCATTGGACCTTGGCTCTGTCACATCGCTATGTTTTGTGCTTGTTGCCTAACCCCCAACCAATCGCACCAGAATTAACGGCAGCATGCAAGTTGCCTTGAAGAAACACGCAAGAAATAAACGCAGCTAGGGCCAATCTGTTACCCATGGCGGATGTGTAAGTGAAACGCCTCTCATAAATAAGCAGTCGGCACGCTATGTTGAATCTATAAATTGCCTCCATTTCTCTTCATTGGGGTTTGGAACCTCGTCAAGCAATCTCAATTGAGCAACAAAGCTCACTCGATTGACGTCGCAAGCAGGCATCTATACTGCACCCACATCGACGTTGTGTCTGCGTATTGTAGCAAACTTTGCCAACTTCGAATCTAAACAGAACTACCAACGATGCCTCGGTTTGCCTTCCTCGTCGTTGCTGACGCCATGAGCGATCAACCAAATCTCGAAATCCCCACAGAGCTGTTGGAGGCCATGACCACTTTCAATGAGAAGATGGCCGGTGAGGGCGTGCTTCTCCATGCTGATGGCTTCACACCCTCATCTGACGGGGGCTATCGGCTCAAGTTTGGTGGTTCGTCTGGGCCAGAAGTCATCCCTGGTCCCTTTGATCTGTCAAAAGAAGACCACGTTTGCGGATACTGGATTGTCAATGTAAAGAACGCCGGGGAGGCGCTAGACTGGGCCAAGCAAGTTCCTTTCCCGGAGGGACAACTGCTTGTCCGTAAGCTCTCTGATGGATGTGATTTGGGGAAGAGTTTCACGCCTGAGTTGATGGAGCGCGAGAAAAAGCTGAAGCTGAAGATGCTGGAGAACCTAAAGAAGGCGGCAAATGAGTAACACAAAGGGATTCATAGGGTCTGAAATTGGTGCACATGTTTGTTTGGAAGGCTGTGGCTAAGCGATAAGATTGTGAACATGATTCAGGCTTGAGTGGTTTGTCTAGCTTACTATTCACGTGTATGGTAGCAGTCGTTCAAGAATACCATTGTGAATATTTATAGCTTAATCCGCATACTTGAAGTCCTACGCTACTTTCAAGCCATGTCCAATTTGGATGAATGCGCAAGCGAAAGAAGTCAAAATAAGGGAGTTGCATTAAGAAACTACGTATCATAAGGTAAAACTACATGCCCGTGACATAGCTGATTGATTGACTGAATTATTTTACGTCTTGGAGGGCCCGTCAAGGGGGGAAGAGACATACTAGGTTAGCTACCGAGGTCTAGATTAGCTGCTCTATTCTAAAATAGCCCAATAGCAATATTGTATAATTAACCAGGTAGTACAGTATTCTTGAGCTTGTAAAATCTAGCTTAAGACCAGGTTACTTGTGTTAATACATGTAAGAAGGCGCAATCAGTCAGACCATTGAATCGGATCTAAAGCCTTTCAATGCTGGATGTTTTTAAACATACCCAAGATAGCCTCGCGTCTTGCCGTGTTGCATTTAACCTTCAAACGTGAAATTCTTCACTGTTTCCCCCTCGCCGCTCTCCGCAAACGTCTTAACATGCCTTTTCACATTATGACTCCCCGCGCCGCATAAGACAGCTTTCTCCTTGACCTTCTGAAGCAAAGCATGAGATGTAATGGCGAGAGCAACCTGGCTCCGCTCTATTCGACTGATTTCATCAATCCTGCGGGGTGTTTGGGCTTCCCTCTACCAAGCTTGCCTAATAATGGACCTGCTTTGTGTTCCCTTAGCTAAACAGGCAGAGAAATTGCAATACCCTATAGAGCGTAGTGTATTGTAGCATTTGCGTTATTGAAAATTAGCTTGAAAAGATTAATATTAGAAGAGATGGAAAGAATTCAAGTACATTCTTTGAAGTAATAATATTTCCTCTTATCCAGCTTGGGCAAGACTGGACAGTATGACGTTGACGAATACGAGGAGCCGAGGACAAGGTTGACGTTGCATTGAACCTTGGCAAACTGACGGCTCCGAAGCATCAGGCCTGATTCCCGGTCGGGCATCATGCACCGCGGTGCCGAGAGATCAATTGATGGCGCTGCGGCTAAATTGGAGGGTTGAGGACGGAACGGATTGGCAGACGTCGCTTCGGATGGGTTTGGGTGTGTTGCGCGGGTATTGCGACGTTGACCCGGGCCGTGGAGTTGCAGATGGCGTGGTAGTGACCCGCGAACCGCGCATTGATACGTGATGTGATATGACATAGGTGCCGCTGGCTGAATGTTGTGGCGGCTGATTTTCACCAGAAAGAGTGAAGATGTGGTCAAGTGCGTCGCAAATCAGTGCTTCTGAGAAGTGGCTGGTTTTTGACGAGGGTGAGACAGCAGCAATACGATGATGGTCCAAGGTGGCCGAGATGCCGGTAATTGCTGGGAGCACTGTCTCTATCTCCCTTTGTTCTTGTTGCTCTCTTTCGTCGCGCCCTTGGCCTCTCGAAAAAAAACATGTGCTTGTGAGTTGAGTTTGTTGGATACAATTTCGGACGGCATGCGAAGCACGGAACTATGGGGTGCCGACTGTCCGCGAGCAGTTGCTGGGAGGTCTTTGAATTGGATTGACTGCTTGTGATGAAGCAGTTGGTTGACACCGGGAGAAAAAAAAAAGATCGAACAGACACGTGAAAAAAAGGCCCTGATAAAGTAGGAAGGAAGGGACCACGATGCTGTGTGCGAATATTGGATGAAAGAAGCGTGCACGGTTGAAGTTATGCGACTATGTACATGTACCCAGACAGTTTATGATTGGATTGGACGAATAAGCGCACGCAAAGTTTACCTGGGGATTCATGTCCCTAGTTGTCAATGCCTTGGCTTATTATACGATTATTTCGATGTTGATACTGCTCGCTACTTCATACGATGTCTGAACAGCCAGCTCATGGCCCCTCGCCTTGTCGGTAGTAGAGGCGCCTATAGGTACTCCGTGCGGGAGTTTTTAAAATAGAATGCGGAAAGCTGCTGGGAGGAAGCTGTGGGTGGATCCCGTGCTGGGGCCTCAGGAACTTTAAGATCTAAAACTCCGGGGGGAGCTCACAGGGCAGTTTGCAGTTGGCCAACGCCGAGACGCCAGTTCACTCCAAGTACCCAGGTACTCAAGTACAGACGTGCAGTGCTAGAGCCATCTATTGCGCGCTGCAGACCCCTTGCGCTGGAGATTGTTGCCAACCTTTGAACATTGACAACATTCGAAGGCCCCACGCCCTGGCCCAGATGTGGCCTAGTGCCAAAGTCTAGCGATCAAGAGCGCCAGGCTCGCGCCAATGGTTCCAGCAACCAGTCAACCACTTGACCAACCTGCCCTTGAGTACTTGACTCGACATTTTCAACTCTCTTACCACTTGAGCCCGATGCTCTCAATTCCTCTCTTCACCTCGCTCAAGGTGCAAGGCCATATGCATCGCAATCAATCCCGACCACGCCGCAGCTGAGCACGTTGGCCTCTTCGCTCCGCCCTACTCTCCCTCTGCCGTGTCTCTTTCTCGCTCTGCCTTGCCGTCGGCGCACGCGATCCACCGCGAATCGCTGACCGTGCAGCTTGAGGCTTCCATCTTCCGGCTTCCTGCTTCGGCTTCCGCCCACACACCTCGCAGCCTCCCACGCGCGTCCTGTCGCTTTCTGCCACCAACCCGTCGCGGCCTTCATTGCTTGATCCTGGATTGCTAGTCAAGCCGACTGAGGCCGCCGTGTTGGCGTTGACGCTTCATACCGCAGTCACCTTTTTTTTAATGTGGTAATGGAGGATGATGAGCATGCAGCCAGAAGCATGAGTAGGATCAAGCTGGAAGACGGAATCGCGAATGGGCAACCTGAAGCCATGGACACGGCCGAGTCTACGCCAACGCACGGCATCAAGGGTGGTGCATCGCCTGCATCCATCAATGGCATCAAATCAGAGAGCGACGGGGTGAATACTCCCGCCTCGGGAAAGCCACGCCTATCGCGAAGATCTTCACAAAAACCCGCCGAGTCCGAACTACGACTATTCAACCACCTCCCAAACGTTACCGAGGAGTCTTGCAAGTCCTTTCAGGTCATTCGAGACTGTCTCTACGGATCAAAACACCTCGGTTCTACCGACAATGACGCTTTGGACTGTGATTGTGCCGAGGAATTTCGTACGTGCCAGTTTTTTTTTTTTTTTTTTTGGACCGCTCCCCGTCCCTCTTGTTGTTCGTACAGCTCGTTGCGCCTTCGACGTCGTGTCGTGCTCAAAGTTTTCGTAACTAACCCGTGGACTGCAGAAGATGGGGAGAATTTTGCTTGTGGCGAGGATTCCGACTGCATCAACCGCGCTACAAAAATGGAGTGTGTCGCCAGCGGCAGCAATTGCGGTGGTGGTTGCCAGAATCAACGCTTTCAACGCAAGCTCTGGGCTGATGTTGCTGTCATCAAGACTGACAAGAAAGGGTATGGTCTTCGAACCGAATCTCCTCTACAACCGAACGACTTTATTTACGAGTATGTTGGTGAGGTTATCAACGAACCCACGTTTCGACGACGTATGCTGCAGTACGATGAGGAGGGCATCAAGCATTTCTATTTCATGTCCCTGAGCAAGAGTGAATTTGTTGACGCAACCAGAAAGGGTAACCTCGGTCGCTTCTGTAACCACTCATGCAATCCCAATTGCTACGTGGACAAGTGGGTTGTTGGGGACAAGCTGCGCATGGGCATCTTTGCATTGCGCAAGATCCAAGCCGGTGAGGAACTGGTATTCAACTACAATGTTGACCGGTACGGTGCCGAACCGCAGCCATGCTACTGCGGCGAGTCAAACTGCGTTGGATTCATCGGAGGAAAGACTCAGACTGAGCGCGCCACCAAGTTACCGACCACAGTTGTTGATGCACTTGGCATTCATGACGCCGATGGTTGGGATACCGCCGTTGCCAAGAAACCACGCCGCAAGCGACCCGAGGAAGATGATGAAGAGTATGTCAACAGCCTGCCAGCCCGGAGCTTGGATGAAGACGGTTCGAGAAAGGTCATGGCCGCGCTTGTGCAATGCAAGGAGAAATGGATTGCCGTCAAACTTCTTGAGCGTATCCAGCGCTCCGATGATGACCGAGTCATCCACTCCGTCATGCGTATGCACGCCTACCAAATTCTCAAAACCACCCTCAACACGTTCATCGACGACCACAATGTTGTGTTGCAGGTACTGGATATCCTTGACAAATTCCCACGCATGACGAGAAACAAGATTCAAGACTCCAACATCGAAGCAACAATACAACACTTGACAAATTCGGAACACGAGGATGTATCAGCCAAATCAAAGAAACTGCTGGACGGCTGGAGTAAACTGGAAGTGGCATATCGCATTCGAAGGAGGAAGGTTGACCCCAATGCACCAGTTCAGAATCTTTTTGACGACCGCAGAGGACAAGCTCGCGAGGAAGAAACGGCTCAGTCAACACCAAAAACAGCATCGCCGCGGCCCATTGACGCTCCAAAGGGCCCCAAGAGCAGTATTCCCCAGCGTAGTGTATCGTTTCAGCATAACAACGTCAATCGACCACCTCGACGCTTCGGACCACTCCCGGAGGGCTGGTTTACAGCCAAGGACGGCAAAGGTCACACCTATTACTACAATAAACTAGGCAAAACCACTTGGAGCAGACCAACTCAGCCCGCAAACGACGGACCAAAGGCGCCGTCCAAGGCCATACAGGAACAGCTGGCTATCCAAAGTATTATTGATCGCGTGACCAAGGAAGGGACACCGAAGCAGGCTCTGCCCCAGCCAACTCCATCACATGTCAGCGACTCATCATCCAAGGAATCCAGGAGGAGCAAGTGGAAGGCACTGCCTATTGAGAAGCAGATGAAGATTTATGAAAATACGGTACGCCACTTTACTG